TCAATCAGGAAGATTATAATAAAGTAAGAATGGGATTGTTTAATTCAATTTTTCATCAACAATGTTCCTCAAAGGGTGAATTCATCATTTTGTGGGGTTTGAAACTATTGACCACATCTTTGAAAGAAAAGGAAAATATCATATGGCCACTTGTCAAGAGGTTAAATATGTTATACACACACAAATAGAGTTGTGAATTTAGCTCGTAGTACGTTGATCACTCGAAAACTGATTCGAATTTTAGCTTGGATTGAGAACGGATCGAAATAAATGAGCCTAGCTACGAGCCAAAATTTTGGATATAATTTTTTTTTGAAACAATCCTAGTAATGTTAGGGCCATGAATATAGTGAATTTAGCCCAAAGATCGTTAATCGCTGCAAAATTGATTCAAAATTTTGGCTTGGATCGAGATTGGATCGAAATAAACGAGTCAAGCTATGAGCCAAAATTTTTGTTCGAATTTCTTTCGAGCGGATTTTGACCGATCCGGGTCTGGCTCGAAATCGAATCCTTAACAAACCTACACACACACGCACACGGATATATATACATATATATATATATATACATATGTCTGCAGATGGACGACTTTACTAAATACAAAGAAAACTTTTCAAACAAAGTACTCTTTAAAACAGTATGATATGAAGAAACTGATGCATTTGATACTTGTCTCCACAAGTAAATACATAATAAATAAACATCAATTCATTGCAATGACTACAAAGTTTCGTCGCCCAGCCAATCTGAAATTAGGCTGGCCAAGATTGTTGAGTATCATAAAACCAGCATTTACAAACTATCACGTCTCTTACAACAAAAAAGGTGTAATAGTTTACATCATCTGACAATCAAGTTGGAATTGCCCAAGTGTTAAAGGATGGGATAGATATTCCACCAAATTAAGTGTAAACAAACAATCAAGCCAAGCACCATATAAACCTGAAGTGTTTGTGTTATATTTCTACACCTTTTACAGTTTTCTTACAATAATAATCATCACAATATTAAAGTTATAAGTCCAAGCATTCTTCGAAGTCAAGCCAAAAGGTTGGGTAAGTCAAGCCAAAAGGTTGGGTGAGTATGCCGCAATTCTGATCTAGATAGATCCATCGAAGCGGAAGAATGTAAAATTTCCCCTAGAAATTTTAACAGCTAGACGAAAAAGTTACCAAAAACAATTACACAACAGCATGGCAATGGATATACCTATCAGCATAAATGCAATGATTTCTTGTACATGCAAGCGCGAAGTACATATTCCAATACGCTTACGAATGACCTATCCACTAAAAGAGAAGTTGGCAGCTAAATGGTTGGAAAGGATTACCCGCCAGCGCATGGGATCTTGACAGAGACTGGAACACAGAAGACTGCTGTGAACAGTGTCAGGTGCACCGCCGTGCGACCATCGGTCTCTCTCTCTGTCTCATGGACAACGAACAATACAAATCCATGACCGAACTCGAGCAGCCGTTTGGGATTGAGGGAGAACCTGAGTG